AATGAAAAATTATCGATCCATCAATAGAATGTGTGACTATCGATAGCTTAGTGATGGTTATTTATTCTTATTAAATATTTGTGTTGTTTTGATTTTTTTATTGTTAAGGTGCAAACCTGCAGCTTCATTGAGTTTATGTTTTAACTGTTTACTCCATCTTGGTTTCAAGTTTCTTGTCAGTTATTCATAGGGGGAGCAGAGGAAGCCCAACAGCCATTCGTATCCACCATTGTACCGCTGGGAGTAACTCAATTAGTTACATGGGAAATCTATAATCCTGTTTTGATCAAAGTGAACATTATGAACACAAACTGTGAGAAGCCGAAGTCAATTAATATTAATATTCTGATCAAAGTATTTCTGCACAAAAAGTAACAAACTCATAATTAGTGTTAAAATATACCACTAACCACTAATATGAAAACATCTCGTTAGTCTATGGGACGGGTCTATTACGCCACTGAGTAAAACTAGGTTTGTAATCACAGTCACGCCTGATTGATCCAAAGTTGTCTGATAATTGGCGTGTCTGACAAATGGGATGTCTAACTTATGAGAGCAAAAGCATACATGGAATTTGAGACCCCCTTCTTCATCTCGGTTAAATGTGCGTTTAGCAATAATAAATCCTAAATAAAAAACCCCAACTTGCTTATATATACAGGATGTACAGGAGGACTGCAACAGTCACAATGGATTGACATGAGAGTGACGATGAGAGCTATCGGGATAGGTTTGTATGTTGAGGTACAATATCTTCTTATAAGTTTTCATTACTATCAATGCATCCCACTAATATATGATAACATTCATGATAACAGCACTCCGTGTCCAGCTCGTTAAACGACACAATAAAAATACAATTAATATAATAGACTCACTCCCTTAAACCTCGGGCGAAGAATAGCCGTGACGGGCAGACGGGAATTACAAAATAATTGATCACAAAATATTAAAACGAAACGTGCGAACCTGGGTAGGTACACCTCGCAAGTGTGGGGTTGCCCACGATAGAAGTTATTCAACAATGAATACTATGACGACATACCGAGTGTCACGTAGAATAAAAACACAGTTTTGATGCTTTTTGTTACCTTTGTGAGGAGGTTTGACAAGGCCCTTCGCTCCCGAGTGGTGACGTGTGACGTCCTGGGAAGGAAGTGACAGTGTATTGACTTCTCTCCTTAATTACCCAGTTGGGGCTCCCTAATTGACCTTTATTTGTTCTGAAGCAGCATGGACTATTTATTTTATTTGGAAGTGGTTATTGGCAAATGTCAATAGGATTGACAAGACATATTTCAATGCAGTTACATTTTAAGCTCTCACAATACTGTTTATGTTCCAAGAATTACAAATTAACAGTAATATTTCATATTCAACAATTTCTTAATTTTGACTGTTCTGACGTGTATGTTTTGATATTATCTGTTCGTACACGCATACCATTGACGAGCCACATTTCATGGCATTACTCCTAATGTTTTAAGTGCCTAGTGACTACATATGATGAGGTAGGTGAGAGCTAAAGTAATAATTAATATGTTTATAATAAGGGATAAACCACCATACCCCAAAAACATGGAAAACATATATTTTGAGTAAAAGTAATTATTCTCGCCAATGGGCCAACCTATTTTTCGCCCATGGGCGAGATTTTTTAATATCGTTCTAAGTTAGTCGAATTAAGTCAATATGAGTTGAATTTTGTTTCATGATACTTATAAACATACATTCATTCATTCATTTACAACCTCCAAAACATGGAAAATCATGTATTTTGAGTAAAAGTCAATATTCTCGCCCATGGGCCAAACTGTTTTTCGCCCATGGGCGAGATTTTTTAATATCGCTCTAAATTAGTCGAATTAAGTCAATATGAGTTGAATTTTGTTTCATGATACTTATAAACATACATTCATTCATTTGCAACTTCCAAAACATGGAAAAACATATATTTTGAGTAAAAGTCAATATTCTCGCTCATGGGCCAAAATATTTTTCGCCCATGGGCGAGATTTTATTAATATCGCTCTAAATTAGTCGAATTAAGTCAAAATGAGTTGAAATTTGTGTCATGATGCTTACAAACATACACTCATTCATTTACAACCTCCAAAACATGGAAAACACATATTTTGAGTAAAGTCATTATTCTCGCCCATGGGCCAAACTGTTTTTCGCCCATGGGCGAGATTTTTTAATATCGCTCTAAGTTAGTCGAATTAAGTCAATATGAGTTGAATTTTGTTTCATGATACTTATAAACATACATTCATTCATTTGCAACTTCCAAAACATGGAAAAACATATATTTTGAGTAAAAGTCAATATTCTCGCCCATGGGCCAAAATGTTTTTCGCCCATGGGCGAGATTTTTTGATATCGCTCTAAATTAGTCGAATTAAGTCAAAATGAGTTGAAATTTGTGTCATGATGCTTACAAACATACACTCATTCATTTACAACCTCCAAAACATGGAAAAACACATATTTTGAGTAAAAGTAAATATTCTCGCCCATGGGCCAACCTATTTTTCGCCCATGGGCGAGATTTTTTAATATCGTTCTAAGTTAGTCGAATTAAGTCAATATGAGTTGAATTTTGTTTCATGGTACTTATAAACATACACTCATTCATTTACAACCTCCAAAACATGGAAAACACATATTTTGAATAAAAGTCAATATTCTCGCCCATGGGCCAAACTGTTTTCGCCCATGGGCGAGATTTTTTAATATCGCTCTAAGTTAGTCGAATTAAGTCAATATGAGTTGAATTTTGTTTCATGGTACTTATAAACATACATTCATTCATTTGCAACTTCCAAAACATGGAAAAACATATATTTTGAGTAAAGTCAATATTCTCGCCCATGGGCCAAAATGTTTTTCGCCCATGGGCGAGATTTTTAATATCGCTCTAAATTAGTCGAATTAAGTCAAAATGAGTTGAAATTTGTGTCATGATGCTTACAAACATACACTCATTCATTTACAACCTCCAAAACATGGAAAAACACATATTTTGAGTAAAAGTAAATATTCTCGCCCATGGGCCAACCTATTTTTCGCCCATGGGCGAGATTTTTTAATATCGTTCTAAGTTAGTCGAATTAAGTCAATATGAGTTGAATTTTGTTTCATGGTACTTATAAACATACACTCATTCATTTACAACCTCCAAAACATGGAAAAACACATATTTTGAATAAAAGTCATTATTCTCGCCAATGGGCCAAACTGTTTTTCGCCCATGGGCGAGATTTTTTAATATCGCTCTAAGTTAGTCGAATTAAGTCAATATGAGTTGAATTTTGTTTCATGGTACTTATAAACATACATTCATTCATTTGCAACTTCCAAAACATGGAAAAACATATATTTTGAGTAAAAGTCAATATTCTCGCCCATGGGCCAAAATATTTTTCGCCCATGGGCGAGATTTTTTAATATCGCTCTAAATTAGTCGAATTAAGTCAAAATGAGTTGAAATTTGTGTCATGATGCTTACAAACATACACTCATTCATTTACAACCTCCAAAACATGGAAAAACACATATTTTGAGTAAAAGTAATTATTCTCGCCCATGGGCCAACCTATTTTTCGCCCATGGGCGAGATTTTTTAATATCGTTCTAAGTTAGTCGAATTAAGTCAATATGAGTTGAATTTTGTTTCATGGTACTTATAAACATACACTCATTCATTTACAACCTCCAAAACATGGAAAAACACATATTTTGAATAAAAGTCATTATTCTCGCCCATGGGCCAAACTGTTTTTCGCCCATGGGCGAGATTTTTTAATATCGCTCTAAGTTAGTCGAATTAAGTCAATATGAGTTGAATTTTGTTTCATGATACTTATAAACATACATTCATTCATTTGCAACTTCCAAAACATGGAAAACATATATTTTGAGTAAAGTCAATATTCTCGCCCATGGGCCAAAATGTTTTTCGCCCATGGGCGAGATTTTTAATATCGCTCTAAATTAGTCGAATTAAGTCAAAATGAGTTGAAATTTGTGTCATGATGCTTACAAACATACACTCATTCATTTACAACCTCCAAAACATGGAAAAACACATATTTTGAGTAAAAGTAAATATTCTCGCCCATGGGCCAACCTATTTTTCGCCCATGGGCGAGATTTTTTAATATCGTTCTAAGTTCGTCGAATTAAGTCAATATGAGTTGAATTTTGTTTCATGGTACTTATAAACATACATTCATTCATTTGCAACTTCCAAAACATGGAAAAACATATATTTTGAGTAAAAGTCAATATTCTCGCCCATGGGCCAAAATATTTTTCGCCCATGGGCGAGATTTTTTAATATCGCTCTAAATTAGTCGAATTAAGTCAAAATGAGTTGAAATTTGTGTCATGATGCTTACAAACATACACTCATTCATTTACAACCTCCAAAACATGGAAAAACACATATTTTGAGTAAAAGTAATTATTCTCGCCCATGGGCCAACCTATTTTTCGCCCATGGGCGAGATTTTTTAATATCGTTCTAAGTTAGTCGAATTAAGTCAATATGAGTTGAATTTTGTTTCATGGTACTTATAAACATACACTCATTCATTTACAACCTCCAAAACATGGAAAAACACATATTTTGAATAAAAGTCATTATTCTCGCCCATGGGCCAAACTGTTTTTCGCCCATGGGCGAGATTTTTTAATATCGTTCTAAGTTAGTCGAATTAAGTCAATATGAGTTGAAATTTTGTTTCATGATACTTATAAACATACATTCATTCATTTGCAACTTCCAAAACATGGAAAAACATATATTTTGAGTAAAGTCAATATTCTCGCCCATGGGCCAAAATGTTTTTCGCCCATGGGCGATTTTTTTAATATCGCTCTAAATTAGTCGAATTAAGTCAAAATGAGTTGAAATTTGTGTCATGATGCTTACAAACATACACTCATTCATTTACAACCTCCAAAACATGGAAAACACATATTTTGAGTAAAAGTAAATATTCTCGCCCATGGGCCAACCTATTTTTCGCCCATGGGCGAGATTTTTAATATCGTTCTAAGTTCGTCGAATTAAGTCAATATGAGTTGAATTTTGTTTCATGGTACTTATAAACATACACTCATTCATTTACAACCTCCAAAACATGGAAAAACACATATTTTGAATAAAAGTCATTATTCTCGCCCATGGCCCAAAATGTGTTTCGCCCATGGGCGAGATTTTTTAATATCGCTCTAAGTTAGTCGAATTAAGTCAATATGAGTTGAATTTTGTTTCATGATACTTATAAACATACATTCATTCATTTACAACTTCCAAAACATGGAAAAACATATATTTTGAGTAAAAGTCAATATTCTCGCCCATGGGCCAAAATGTTTTCGCCCATGGGCGAGATTTTTTAATATCGCTCTAAATTAGTCGAATTAAGTCAAAATGAGTTGAAATTTGTTTCATGATGCTTACAAACATACACTCATTCATTTACAACCTCCAAAACATGAATTCTGATCGAAATTAAACATTCTCGCCCATGGGCCACTGTTCGCCCATGGGCCTGCCCATGGGCGAGCGAGTTTAAATTTAAAGTTTTCGAAAGAATTTTTTTTCATTTTTTCATCCTTGGCATATATTCATAACAACTGCATGTTTAATTAGGTCAAATCCCTTGTCAGAAAGTGCCCACAGTGCGGAGAGTTTCTGGACTTTTGTGAGTCCAGAATTAAATTGTGACGTGTTAATTGAATTTGAACAGTTTCCTGAGGAAGTGAGCACTTATATGAAGGATGTTCTCATGCCCCTGCTTAGAGAGGCAAGGAGAGACAATAAGAAGGCGTATATCACTGTTGACAAACTCTATGTTGAGAACAGACTGCATACTGTGCCTGTGCCACCCCCATACAGAGCACCCAGTACCTCTACCAGGTCAGTGCCAGGCCCCACCCTAGACCATAGGGGTGCGATGGTTGTCTTGAGAACTTGAGTCCCATCTGTCTGGAACACTCATATAGTGCTACGCACTCACATGTGAACACTTGTGTACGTGAAGCATCTTCTCTTGTGAATACTTCCAGCTATGTAAATGATATGCACCTCAGTGTAAATACATGCACTGTTCACTGTGTTACTCCTTTGACTGTCACTAATTGTGTTATGTTTCCTTGTGTGAACACTAGTGAGTGTAAAAGTATGTCTAATGTTGATACACATAGTAATATACACTGTATGTATAATGATCCCCATTCAAGTACCCTTTACAATACCATAATAAGTGATGACAGTCATGCTATCCCTCCACCTAAGAACATTTATAGATCAACTTCTTATGTGAATGATACAAGTGTTGAACATACAATGCCTAATAATGTTGATGCTAACACTGTTAGCAACACATCTATTACCCCTGAAAATCCATGTCTCTCAGATAAAAACATTTGTGTATATGAATCCTCAACCCATATGAATGATGCTAGTAACATTGATGCTGCATATAACGATGAAGATGCTAGATATGATCACAACACTTTCACAAATGATGTAAATGATGAATCTGTAATGAACATAAACACTATTGATGTATCAGAATTATCATCAGAAACTATGATACATGCTTATGATAATAATTCCACTATCCAGACTGATGAACTCCACACCAGCACAACTTCCCTTAAGTCAGTTCACACCGCTGAAGCTGGAGAATATAGTATACCCCAGACACAACCTACATCAATTAACCAGTTTAGTAATGAAACTGCAACTAATGATGATTCATCAAGTTCTGCCAGTAAACTAAAATTTATCAATCTAAATGTATGTGGGCTAAGAAGAAAACTGCAGTATCCTGAATTCACGTCTCTATTAAACAGTGCTGATATAATTGACCTACAAGAAACAAAAACAGATTCGCTTGATGAGCTAGAAATTGAAGGCTACAAATTATATCTTCACCATAGACCAGGCTTCCGTAGGAAGTCTGGTTTGTATTGGGTTAGCAGTAAGAAACACCTTTTCTGACCATATCTCATTATATAACCATGAATGTGAATATGTTTTTTGGTATAGAATATCTAAAGAATTGCTCAATGTTGATAATGATCTTTATCTAGGTAATGTGTATTTACCACCAGATAGTTCTAGATATGCAAAAGATGATATGTTTCCCCTTGTAGAACAATCTATTTTACAAATGCTTGCTAAGAGTGATTACATTTTACTTATGGGTGATTTCAATGCTAGGACTAGACTATTGAAAGAGTATTGCAGAGTTGACAAGCATATAATTGAAGAACTTGATATTGATACTGAAACTATGACAGATATTTTTGAACCTGAAAATATTCTTTATGCCTCTTCTCTCCCTATAACAAGAGCTAACCAAGATTTAGGAAAGGTTAATGCTTCAGGACTTAAGCTCATAGAGCTTTGTAAAACCACTAATATGTTTATATGCAATGGGAGACTAGACAAAGATAAGGATAAAGGTAAAGTAACATGTAATGACTCAAGTTTAATTGACTATGTTTATCCTCGCCACAATGTCTTCCATGTTTTGTTGATTTTGATGTTATTGATTTTTCACCTTTGTATTCAGATGTTCACTCTCCCATCACTTTCTCATTAAATATGGGATTGAACTCTAACTCAAAACCACCTGAGAATAGGCGGGAAAATGTAACAAACAATTCACCAAAAGAAGTTTCTATGAAACCAAAGAGGTATGACATTTGTAAATAATATTAACAAAAACTCTGTCCTGGAATTAACCCATTTATTGCAATCAACATCAAGTCAAGACGACCCAGCACGTGCAGTCAATGACTTTGCCTCTGGGTTAGCGCACCTTCTGGCTGACGCAGCTCGTGCAACATTTGGTGTGAGACGCTCGCCTCCACCAGTGTCGAAACAAGATTGCAATGATAAGCCTTGGTTTGGAAAAGAATGTCGAGAAAAACGCAAATGCTTTCAAAAATCAAAACGTTGGTATTTTAAAAGTAAGACGAATTCTAATAAGGCTGAATATCGCCGATGTTCAAAAGAATATAAGAAATGTCTGAATAAACATATAAACAAGTATAAAAATGAAGCATTCCCCTAAAGAATTCTGGAAAATACTAACAAAAAGTAACAGATATGATAATTCTGAAATACCAGACATAAAAGAATTTTTTGAACATTTCAAGCATATCAACAGTAAACAGACTACTCCTGATTTTGAAATAGATCAAGAAATTAAAGATTATGATGATCACATATTAAATGATGATATTACCTTGATAGAAGTGACACATGCTATCAAAAAGCTAAAACGAAATAAATCTTCTGGTATTGATGACATTGAAAATGACTATCTTATTGATTCCTTTGATCTACTTGGTCCTTTGTTTGTTGATTATTTCAATTTGATATTCTCCACAGGAATAATGCCTGAAGCATGGTTGACTGGCACTATCAGACCTACATACAAAGGTAAAGGCCAGAAATCAGACCCCAATGCCTATAGACCAATCACTATTTTAAGCTACTTTGGAAAGCTTTTCACCGGTATATTGAACAACAGACTGAACATTTTCTTGGAAACAAACAATATTTTAACCCCTGCGCAGGCAGGTTTTAGGCAAGAACATTCCACAAACGACAACATATTTGTTTTGAACATGCTTACTCAGATTTTAAAGACCTGTAAAAGAAAGTTATATTGAGCGTTCATTGATTTTTCTAAAGCTTTTGATAATGTATGGAGGATTGGACTTTGGCAAAAAATAGTTAACAATGGAATTACAGGTAAATTTTTTACGCTTATACAAAACATGTATGCAAATATCCAATCTTGTGTATGTTCAAATGATAAGTTCTCAGATTATTTTCAATGTTATTCGGGCGTCCGCCAAGGGGAAAATCTTTCATCTCTTTTATTTTGTTTATTCATAAATGATTTAGAACAATTTCTCATCGTTGACAGTTGTAAAAGTGTTATGCTCGAGAATGTAAACATACAGTTATGTTTATCATTTATTGTACTTCTTTATGCCGACGACACTGTCCTGTTTGCTGATTCCGCATCCGAACTACAGAGTACCTTAGATTCTTTTCGCAAATACTTTAAAATTTGGAAATTAGAAGTGAACCTTGATCAAACGAAAGTCTTAATTTTTTGAAGTGGCCCTGCTAATAATAGTAAACTTAATTTTGTCTTTGAACAATCTCAAATTGAAATTGTAGATAACTATACTTATCTTGGAGTGACATTTAGTAGAAATAGGAAATTTAATCTATCAATCAAAAACCTTGCAGCAAGCGCATCCAAAGCAATGTTTTGTCTTTTAAAAAAATCTAGAAATCATAATATCCCGTTGGACTGTTTACTTAAGGCATTTGATGTTATGATAGCCCCAATTCTTTTGTATGGCTGCGAAACTTGGGCATATGAAAATTTAAATATAATTGAAAAAACCCATTTGAAATTTTTGAAATTGGCCAGCGGTTTACGAAATTCTACCCCTACTTTTAGGGTATATGGAGAACTCGGAAGATTTTCTTTATATATCACTGCGGCTAAGCGTATTATGTGTTACTGGCATAAACTTAATAATCCTGGAATGCAGCAGAAATTATCAAAACTGATCAACAATTATGCATATGCACAAAGTATCTTTGAGAATGATTTTGACCCCTGGATGCATCATGTTAAATCTTTATTAGATAAATGTGGCTTATCTTTTGTATTCTATAACCCTGTAAGCGTACCATGCCAATGGCTAGTTTCACAAGTGGAGACTGTATTAAAAGACCAGTTCCAACAAAGTTGGAAAGCTGATATTGAAAATAGCTCTAAGGGATTTTACTATAAACATATTAAAGATACTCCCATATCTTCTCTTCCCAGCTTATATTTACTATCCTATGTAATCACAATCTCCCGGTAGAAATCTATCCAAATATCTGCTAGTATTAGAAAAACTCTTTGTCAAAAATGGTTAAACCTCAATCAGCTCTTTCTATAGACAACAAATCACTTAACAGATTTTAATTTATGGCATTATTATGTTTCATTTTAAACTGTTCTACCTGTCATTTTGTCATGTTTATTTATATGTATTTAAATAGATTATGTTTGATTTTCTCTTGTACCACCAAACGTGGTTATTTGAGAATAAACTGAACTTGAACTTGAACTTGAACTTTAAGTGCACAGAGTTGTGACAATACTTAAAGAGTCTGCACATAAAGTTGACTCCAAGGTTTTTACACCCGGTCACAGGTGGCCTCGATCCCGGCACATCAAGCTCGCTGGATCACTAGCCTGGCGCCTTAGACAGCTCACCCACCACACCCCGTAGTAATATGAACACATAATATATATTTTCTTATTGAGTTGCAATCATTATTAGCCTTCCTAATAATTCTAATCTACATGTATCTACGTAACCATTCATTGACCACATTCCTAAGTTTGAGATAAACGAATCTGTTGGGTGTCTTTTACCCAGCCCTTGTATGTGGCGAGCAAAGTAGCGCTGTGTGCGTTCAATCCTTTCGAGTTCATTATCACGTATGGCTGGTAACAGTTCATATCCAAAAAAAGTAGCAGATAGAATCAACTCATGTACCACGGTGGAGGTCAGAGTTTGACAAGTGAGTAAACACGTTGTCATGCTTTTGAGCAATAAGACGTGACTCTTTCTCTACGATATAAATTAGTTTATTATTATTCCGCCATACGTTATAGAGTCGGAGTTGTCAACTGTAGCCTCACCAAACTTGTATTTTACTATATCATGGAGCTGGCGTGATTCACAGAAAACATAGGACTTACTCTAAGGGGCCTTGTAGGTGAGTCTTTTTTGGGATATACAAGCGAAGTGAATCAGGAGACGTATGTAGACGGGAGTGAAGGTAGGATTGTTGTGTCGGTATCCTCCCATTTGTCAGACAGGTTAAAACAACAAACCATCTGGTTGAGAGCACAACTAATCCCCTGCCTGTTACCTCTTGATGAAATGGGAATGGCCCATAAAATAAGTAACAGAACATATATTCTGGCGGAATAGTAGTTAGCCAGAAGATCTAACAATTTGCATGATATATTAACAGAATTTACTGAGATATTTTATAACAGATATCTTCTTACATGTAAAGAGTGATTTATATTTTAACACATTTGGTCTGATTATAAAGGAAGCTGATATATAAATTGGTCTTTCTTTTCTAAAATGTTTGCATTTAAGAATACAATGAAACTCATCACCCACATCATTCATACAACATGATTTACATTTTCTTTCATCTATTGGTATCCTATTCCATCTTCCTTCTTTAACTGGTAAATGGCGGCATAAAGTACGAAAATGGAGTAAGGGGATAATTTTGTTAAACAGTAAGGACGTTAGATAATTTTCAAATTCAAATTGAGATTTCAAAAGAGAATGGAATGATTCTATCTCTGAGCTCCAGATTTGAATAACATTGGCATTCACAATTGAGTGAGCTGTATTTTTATATCCAGGAAGATGAAACATGAGACTGTGAAAGCCATACATAACTTAAACCAGTGTTATTAAGAATATTCTCTACACATGAAATCCCGCTACAGCTGTGAATACGCTCATTATGAAGATTATATACAATAGAATAAAAGATTGAAGATAACTTAGATGAATTGTTTGTGAACAATTTAGACCAAAAAGTTAACAAAAGACTTTTAACATCAACACAAAGTGGGGCTCGACCTAATTCACCATAAAGCATATACAATGGAGTACTTTTCTTTGCAGGTAATAATTTTCTCATAAATATGTATGTACATTTTCAATTTATTTTAAATTAACATATCCACAATTTTGGTTTCGCCATTGAATCAAAGAGATATAGTTGACATTGAATCGATAAGTGAACATTCGACTTCTGCGTAAAACAAAATACATGGCATTAGTAGCTTATTGACAGAGATTTGATAAAGGTAATTTGAAAGAACATTTTCTATCAAAAATAACTCCAAGATATTTATACACAATAACAGTTTTCCTTAGGTTCAACTAACTAGTTGAAATGTCCAATTGGGACATTCCCATTTATATATGGGTGTTGCCCGAATTAATCCCTAGTCCAGTGTCTGACAATTGGGATATATATTCCGTGAATAGATAACCCATTGTTTGTTTTCCTTAATTCACAGGTATCGTCTTTTATGAAACTTAGAGAAAAGGCTGACGTAACTCTACCTTTCCCAATACAATGCAGGGGCGGTGGGGTAGCCTAGTGGTTAAAGCGTTGGCTCGTCACGCCGAAGACCCGGGTTCGAATCCCCACATGGGTACAATGTGTGAAGCCCATTTCTGGTGTCCCCGACGTGATGTTTCTGGAATATTGCTAAAAGCGGCGTAAAACCAAACTCAGTCAGGCAGTGAGCCAATACAATGCATAATGGGGGAACGCCTCCTATCTTTCTCCGTTCTATGATATGTAGGCTCAACTGTCCGTATAGCTGTGGAAGAGTAGATTCCATTATTTGCCTTTGACACCAAGGTCATGTAATTTGACAAAGAGACCCGCATGATGAAGCATGCGGTCTAAAGTTGTTGTTTTTTTCATTATCTAAAAATGCAGCAAACACTTGCGATTCTCTTTTCAGGTGAAAATGAACACATTTTAATATTGTGAATGCAGACATGATTGCTCCACGTTCTTTTCTGAAATTGTTATGCATCGGGAAAGGGTTGGAGGTTTCTGAGTGTGTATTTTTCTATTCTACTTCAATGATTTTCTATAAGCGTTTAGACAGACACGATGCAAGAGTTATACCTGAGGGTCTACGATTACAGGGATCATGCTTGCCTTTTTTTGCCTTTACAAACAGGTATTGCCATGCCTAGTCCGAATGCAAGTGGATAGTACTGGGATGCATGGAAAAGAATAAGGGAACACATTTAATAACAAGTGTTCCTTTATCTATTTCTAGAATTTCACCCACAATACAATACATACATTGTGAAGAAACCTGGAAAAGAATAAAGGAACACTTGTACATTCATGTGTTCCCTTATTCGTTTCTTTGAGTATATATGGTTGAACAGTTGTTAAAGTTTTACTACAAGTGCCTTTCCTCCAAAATTAATTGAGCATTTGTGATACCGTCAGGTCCCGGAGATTTCTTATTTTAGGATTGTTTATATGTAATCTGATTTCTAAGTCGTTGATTCTGTATACAGGATATCATCTAGTAGGTCGTGTTTACAACCATTATCTTCAATAATAGAATGAAGTTCTGATACAATGGTCATATTGGTGCGTTTAAAATTTTCATCAAATTCCTGAGATTGGTGAGGTATTGCTAAGTCTGAATAATAGTCACCCCACAGTTTACCTACATCAGCTGATGAGACAGCAAGCTAGTTTTTCAATGACTGGACTTTTCACCTATTCTCACTGATAACTTGAACTGGTAAAAAACTAAAGTTCTTCTTAATAAGTCATTTTATTGTTGGAACATCGCTTGTTGTTCACAAAAGACAAACTATCAAAAGTCAGATGTCAAGGAGAAAACGGAGATCGCCAATCATGATTGAGTACCAAAATTCCACTTTGTAATTGACGTGACACCATCAGCATGACACCAACTGCAGAACAGAAATCCCAAGATTAACGTGAAGCAAATTGTGACTGGTGGTCCTTTTGACAACAGATACCAAGGCTTTGCTTAGAACTAGTTGTGGTAAGTGTCACACAGGATAATCATATTACTAATGCCACTGTAGAACTTTGTAATGAAGGTTACTGTAATTGTAATCAATGTTACTGAAATGAGGGTAAACTAATTTGCATAAATTGATCATCAAGCCTACTATACAAACGTTTTTTTAACTAGATGTTACTATACTGGTAATATATTTCACATGGGTTTTTTGTCAGGATTGCTTGATAAACAACAAAACTTGACCATTATACAACTTGCAAGTCTTGTAATCTACGTTACCGTAACACTGCCATATCAAAACAGAAATTTGGAAACATTACTGGTGAAACATTTCTATAATATTACACAGAGTTACGTAAAAAGATACAAAAGTGGTTAACTGTTTCTTCGTTTCATTCAATATTTAAAGTACAGGCCGTACAGAAGCACAGTGAAAATTCATCCAAACTGTAATCACGTTACCTGTTTAGTTTGATGTAGATTATCAACAATGATAAGCCAAATAAAAGTAAATGATGATTTAATGTTTAGAAGGATCCATGCCATAACTTTAGACCCATAAAGCTGTCTTGCCTGAGCAGTAGTCGCGAAAACAATTATGCTCCTTTTGGAATGAGGTCACGTAGATTACACAGACGTCCTTCAGCACCCACCAAACGTTTAAAGTGTAATAGAAGAGCATCTCCTTCACTTAGTTATTACTGCTGAATAGGTCGATTCATTTTAAAACCCTTTTGGTGACACTGGGTGTACAGTTTTTATCTTATGGTGGTCACGTAGATTACATGCTTAAAAATCCTGTAAAGTATCATGGTGGGAAACCGGCTGAATATTAGTGTCTATGAGATTGATATTATATTGCCCCAATATAAAACTGTAAATAGGGCATACTATCTAATAATTACACATAATTTTGAAAATAATTAAATGGTCATTTTCAAGAGGTAACGTGGATTACACTTTTATGGAGACATCATATTGAACAAAAATTCTAAAAAAGCTAAACCATATAAAGATATGTTCTGGATATGGACGAATGGGACAATACCTTATGTCAAAAAAGTAATCTGTTTTGTTCACACAAGATGAATATTTACTTTGAAATATTCACTCAAAATGTCATACTATCATTGGAGACATGCACAGTTTGGTGATTGTGACTAACGTTTTACCCTAAGTCACACATATAGATAATAGATCATTAACAGTTTCTGCGTCTCGGGTACCTACCAAACCTGTCGCCTAATATAAACAGGAAATGAACAGGTGAAATCAATCAAAAGGTATCTTTTTTATGCGGGTACAAATGGTGCACTTTTCGTGAGAATAGGTGTTTTTACGCCTCAGCTTACGAACATGTTTATAGAATGTATTCATATCGGCGTCACATGTTTTTCTAGTTCTGTACGTATTTCTTTGCACTCCTTTCGTTTTGATTTTTGGTGTAAGTGTCTGAATGTACTTCTAGCATTGTCATAGGATTTCATAATTTTGAATTTTTGTCCCCTTGGCCTTTTATTAGTTATCCGTTCTCGTCTAACCACCCACTTTGCATAGTGAGGCTCATGTAACCATCATTTTTCCAGTAGGGCTTCAAATGTTATCTATACACACGAGACATGCACGTAGCTGTGCGTTAAAAGTCTTCTATGACAGCAGGAAACAATAGGAGTTGGGTAAGTGGGAAGAACCAAACGCGATTAGATCTGGCGTAAGCCAATGTTCCTGGATGGCAAATATGTCCACTGAATTAGGAATTACAGTATCACGTGTCCGTGTACCAGACTGCGCACATTCCATGTGAGGAGGTGATTTATAAGGTCTTTGGAAAATGTGTTATCGATGAATATGATCTAGATGTAAACGAAATGAGGAAAGCAAATGAGCCTGAATCGTTACTTGGTGACATGAATGCACGAAGGGTTAGGAACACACAGGATAGAACCAACATAAAACGAAGATAAATCATTTTGTAAAAAACCTAAATTTTATCCAAGCAAGACTAGACAGATAAAAAAAAACATGCAATTATAGAAGCGTAATTGATGTTGTATTTAAGATCTAGAAACATAAAAATGCCTCTCAAAGAACATAAAAATAAAACTCGACTGTTTTCTACATGCTTTTAATGCCATACATATGTAGCTACGCCAGTCGTTCTGTACTGTGCAGATGTACTGGGATTTGAAAAATTAAAAAGTTAGCCGGATTAAGAGCATTGTGGTCAACGAGACAACGACTTCGACTCCTGCACGCAACGTAAAACATTACAATAGGTCGGGCGGACCTGTGATCAGTTCACATCTGTTGAAGTTTCTGAACTGAATCGTTATGTGAAAACTCCTTTACTCCTATCAAGTTCATCTCGTGGAGCATTGTCTAGTCAACATACTCCAGGATCCATACATTTAGGCTTATATGGGGCACTGACAAGTTTATGTGAGTCTTTTGTCGATACATGTATCAACATACCTGAGTTATCTGATTTTCAGTTGTATTTCTCTAAAGCTCAAAGGTTATCTGAGCATTGAAAACTGTCTGGAGGTATCTAGGAAGAGGAAGTCTCTTGAGATAATGTTCTGATATATACGTCAACACATCCAACATTGTTTGCATGCGCTTTGACAAGCACATTTGAATACTGAGCGTGATATACTGTTGTATGCCGTCTATGTTCCCCCAGAATGTTCGTCCTACTATGAGATTCGACAAAGATGCACGTTGTTTGACCAGCTAGAAGAGCGGTTACTTGACAACCCGCAGTATGTAACTGATTGTGATATTGATAGTTTGGGAGATTTGAATGCTCGTGTTGGAGATGGAAATCAACCACCTGAGGTACAACATGACGGAAATGAAAATTACTTTCCGGAAGATGAGCCGATACTTATAGATGTTTACTCAAGATAGTGTTGTTAATAGATTTTGGAAATTGGTTTTAAATTATTGCTTCGTTTTCAATTTATACATAGTGTGAAAGGTGATGAGAGGTCTGTTGACATATATTTCTGAACAAGACTACAAAGTTTCTGTAGGAATCATGCAAAATTGTAAATATGTAATATAATTGTTCCCAGACATGCTAGAAATTCTGAACTTGCTGTTCGTTGGCGATGTAATCTTAGTTTCCGGCTCCTAATGTGGTCTCCAAAATCAGTAAGATATGTTAGCTTCATGTTCAGAACAGTGGGGTTTTAATTTGGATAAGTCTAAAATAGTTGTCTTTAATAAGGGAGGTTGATTATCAAAAATGATAATGGTATTTTAAAGGCGACGATGCGACTGTGTCGAGAAAATACATTTCTTATGGTTTATACAGATGATTCAAAAGTCTTCCGACACCTGAAAAATATCTTTTTGAAATGGTCGTTTTACAATTAAATTTAAAAAGTTAAATTGTGAACAATGTAAAGGTTTGAAATACAAAGAAGATTAATGGCATAAGACTGATCTAATTTTGAGAATTTATCCCACATGTTAAAAGGGAGGAATTGTATAATTAATGTATATGGGCCCTGTGGCATTCGTACTTGAATAAAGAATTGATTAATTGAAGAAATACAACTCTAAATGATATGCTGTGTGGGAAACGTGATAGGAGACTAATCTATATCAAAGTGTTTAAAAGAATAACTTACTGGCAAAACCGACATGGCATAACTTTTGTACCGTTACTTAACTTCGAAGCCAGGTGAACACAAAAGTGAATTCCCACAGATTGCATGTTTAAAAGATGTAAAATGATATTAGACTATCTGAAATATGTGCTAAACCATACATATGCACTACAAATTTTCTCTCCTCAATGGTCGAACATATAATTTAGGATCAATTTCAGCAAAAGTGAATGGATGTTGTATAGGGGTTGAAATACCCCTAAAATGACGTCATCATCGAACACCTGGCTGACCTCATTTTAAAAGGGATGTCAATGACCTTGTACTGAGTTGACCTTGGGATAAACCACTTTCCCAGAGGTATTTTCAGGTGCATAGCAACCGAAAGAGAATGACATCATGGCATACGGATAGATCAACTGGTTTAATCCGGTTTGGGAATGAAAATATATAAACCCCTTCATTTCGGATCATGCATCACTTCATCCCTGACTACACAGACGACATCCAGCTATACAACTCTCTCTCTCTCTTTCTCTCTCTCTCTCTCGCTCTCGCTCTCGCTCTCTCTCTCTCTCTCTCCTCTCGCTCTCTCTCTGTGTTAGCTGTCTATCTTGAAGATGGAAGCCGTTCACCGTGATATCCTGAGGAAGAATTACTCCGGTCTAGTGCAAGCTATAAAGCACGTAGAAGAGGTGCTGGACAAACTGATGCAGTTTAAAGTCCTTACCATCTTCATGAAGACAGAGATTATCGAAAAACCACAAACCTCCTTTGACCGGGTGAGAGCTTTATAAGATTCCCTTCCCCGGCGAGGACCCCAAGCTTACACCCTCTTCTGTAAAGCTTTGGAGGAATGCGGAGAGATACAAGCCATGACATTGCTGGGACTAGAGACAGACAGGACAGAGTATCCTCATGGTCATGATGATCTAGGTGGGTACCTATGTATGGACAGTATCCCTCTCAGACCTCGAACACAGTTCCAAGAACGGCTGAATTCCTTTCAGTCTTGGCCTGTGCAGATGAAACAGAGTCCTAGTCAAATGGCCCAGGCAGGATTTGTGTACTTAATCAGAGGGGACGCTTGCAAGTGTGTTCAATGTGGTGTTGTTCTCCAGAACTGGGACGTAGAGGATGATCCTTGGGTCGAACATGAAAAATGGTCTCCAAACTGTCCGTATTTGGCCCTGGTAGGAGTACCTCAGAAAGAGGTGGTCCGTTGGGGTAGTCATGTAGATTTACATGTGTAAGAGTGTGATGTTCATTGTACAATACTGTGTGTATTTGAGACTATTTGAAAATAAATCAATTTTGGTTGTCATTGGTTGATGTGGTGTATAAAAGTCCTAACAAAAGGTAGGTGAAGGGAGAGCAGAGTGGCATAGTGGAAGCGCACTGGGCTCATAACCCAGAGGACCGTGAATCGAAACCACGCTCTGCGAAAAACATGTTTTTAGGAGTTAGAATTAGGGCTAGCAGACATCTATATAAAGGACAGAAACGGTGATTTAGCTTCATTTAGCCGTGGACCCGTGATAGTGACACTTCATCTGAAACCTCTGTGTGAGAGTCAGTATTCATTCTGAACAAGAAAATGAACAGAAGATACTGGAGACCCTATTTGGACGATCCTAAGAAATGGACCAAATATTACTATTTGCAGGCTAAAGGATATACCAATCCCTTTACTAACGTGGATGATTATGTGATCTATTATGAGAAACAAGGCGTCAAGATGGACCTACCCCCTTCTACAGACAAGTTTGCTCTCACGTCTCCAACCCACCAAGTCGTTCAACAGGCCAAAGCACGTATTCAGATGCAGGAGAACAGGGAAACTGAAGCCAAAATAATGACTTCCTCCCAGAGTCGCACAAAGAAACGGAAGACGACTTTTTAGATAAAAGCAGCTAGTAGACAGGTTCTTTGCCATTTAGACTCGGACCACCATGCAGTCAGCAAAGTGTCCCGTATGCTATCAGACGTTTTCCAGAAGAGATGCCATGCTTAGACATCTCAGGAATCAACACAGACGAGCAATGCAGCCACCACCACCACCACCAACACGAGCAGCAGCAGCAGCACCACCACCACCACCACAACCACAACCACAACCACCACAACCACAACCACGAGCACCACCACCACCACCACCACCACCACCACAAGTACCATCACCTATGATGCAACCAGTGCAACCACATGTTGGTGCTTTGGAAGAATTTAGACTGATACTCCCCTTCACCATGATTGTCTCAGGGCCCACCTCCTGTGGGAAAACGTACTTAGTGAAACAGATTCTAGAACGGATGAACATTAAACCTTATCCTGAACATATTATTTGGCTCTACAAACGATGGCAGCCCTTGTATAACACCATTCGAACCCATGTTTATCCCTATGTGGAATTTCATCAAGGCATTCCTTCTGATCTTGAAAAGGATGCGTTTCTGGACCCCCATGTGGTGAATGTGGTGATCCTCGACGACTTAATGTCGAAAGTGAGCAAAGATCCACGCATTACAGATCTGTTTACGGAAGGAAGTCATCATCGTAATCTCTCAGTGATAGCCTTGAACCAGAATTTGTATTTCAGTAAGGATCCCACACAACGAAGAAACTGCCATTATCTGCTTCTGTTCAACAACCCTATCGATCAACAGCCCATCATGACTTTGGCGAGGCAAATGTATCCAGGTAACACAGACCGTTTCACGGAGCCATTTCAAAGGGCTATCCAGCAACCATATGGCTACTTGTTGGTTGATCTAAAACCCCAAACACCTCCCCATTTGCGACTTTGCCCCAATGCATTCAGCTTAAAAGGAGACATCCAAGCTAGGACCATTTAGTCCGAGTTAGACTTTCGGCGTGAGCAGACGTGTGAAGAAAACCTCCCAACCATGCCATCTTGTGATGACTGTGGACTCATGTTTCAAGACGTGCATGATTTGCAAAAACGCAGAAGAAACTGGTGTCCTGTAAAGTCTTCAGTGGGTCCACCGGGAATACCCCAAGTTAAAAGGAAGTGGGAGGAAGACGACAACTTCTCTCCTGTGAAGGCACCACGTACACTGTCAGATTGTGACTATTGTGGTGAAGTGTTTAGCAATAACCACAACTTACAATGACATTTACATGATAAACAATGTCCTGAAATGGAAATTGATGATGATGATGATGATGATGAATCATTAAACGATGTCACACAAAACAACAGGAAAAAAAAGATGGCTGATCTCGAAGCGCAAGGTATAAGACAAATGTATTCAACACGTGAGCTGAATAAAGACTTTTTGGATGAGAAACGACAGCTGTACATGAAAAGAGGTTTAAACGAAGACACGATTCAAGCCAAACTGAACAAATTCATGTGGAGCACGTTTAAAGAGCTCGAGACGTATGCCCGATTTATTACTTATCTGTACCAGTATGGTCCAAAGACACAATGAATACTGAAACAAGTAGGAGACACAAATAATCTGTATCATGACGTGTTCTCCAATCTGTACCAATATAAGTCTTGGGTCGAAGGCGTGACTGAAGATGATAATACAGACATAACATCTGATGAAGAGAGTGAAGGACAGGCGTATGAGGAAGGGTAAGTATTAGATATACCCACACTTTCCGAGGTGTGTCGCTCAATACTCCTACTGTTTGAGTCGTGTGGCCTCCGAGGCGCTAGCCGAGGAGACCACACGACTCAAACAGTAGGGGTATTGAGCGACATCGAGGAAGTGTGGGTATATCTGACTTATACCTCACTTCTGGTCGAGATACGAGTTTACTATAACACCTTATATTCTAAGAATGACAAAAAATGTATTTGTTTTCCATCTGTTTCATTTATTTTTAGCCCACTGGTTAAGACCCTCAAATGTCCCGCGTCTATAGTCTGTTTGCAGTGAAAACGTACCGATCAATTTCACTTTAAACAAAAAAGTAATCAAATAAAGTGAAATTAAGATTGTGAATCTCATAATTTGACCTTGCCAAATGAACATTTCAGAATTATATTCAACTAAGAATAAAATTTGTTTAACAATGATCATAGTTTCAAATCAATATTATTGGTTTGTATTACAATTTTAAGGGGGGGTAAGCGCAGTAGTTGGAACAGTGAAACAAATGCCCGTGCGGTACGTAATGAGCGTTAACTTCTACCAAACCTACATGTTATCGGTGTTTCATTAAATGCGCATACCCCCTTGTAATACAAACCAATAACAGCGCTTTGAAACTATGATCGTTTGTTAAACAACTTTTATCCTAAGCTGAATATAATTCTGAGATTTAAATGTTCAATAGGCAATGTAAAATTATGGGGATTTGCAATCTTAGTTTCACTTTATTTGATTTACTTTTTTTAAGTGATATTCATCGGTACGTTTTCACTTCAAACAGACTATAAGCAGTCGATTGCACGTGCATGCACGTGCTTGCACGATTTCACACGATTTTAAAAACCAGTTCGGGCGCGAGAATGATTTCAAGTAGCCCCAAATACGCGCAATATTACTGATAATTGACATTTGTATGGGCAGACCAATGCGCATGCGTTCTCTGACTCGCATGTGGCATAGAAAACATTTGGAAGATCACACGTTCGTCGGCCATGGATGCTGAAGAGTGGACAGAGGATTTTCTTTCTCAAATTGACAGTTCGTTAGTGTCACATTTCGACCTGGATGATAAGGAAGATTTTGAAACAATCGAAATCTCAATGTGAGTCCATTGAAATAAAATTATATTTCGCCGTTTGTTGTGTCTTTATTGCTTCGGTATACCCTAGTGAAAAAGTGTAGGTGTATCATTGATACACCTACACTTTTGACAGGTGTACCGGTCAATACACCTACACTTTTAACAAAGGAAACCATGGCAACGAGACCGGAAGTGGGGTATAATAAGACAACAGATGTAAAGTAGACTTCTGGGAGCGCTCCTATTCCGTAGTTCTACTTGTTTGAAACGGAGCTAATAAAAAAATGAAATCAGTTTATCTTGTTTTTTGTCATGTATACCTCGTTAGGAGCCACATTAACTTGGTGCGTCTAGTGGCAGCAAGATGATACCCGGGGAGTTGAGAATGGTAATATGGCTGTGATTGACATCCAAGGAAAAAGTTACCAGCGCTTTGAGCATGCATGCGGGATGGACTATAGTGCTATATAAATACCCATATAATAATAATATACACCAGTGCGTTGTCATTTATGATTACTTATTCATGCTAACACTATGTAATTACACCCCATTCCTGATGGAATTTTAGAAAGTTGAAAGTTGCATTCCTGAATATGATGTACAAACCCCATGACGAGAACGCACATTTCTACAGTCAAAGTAGTCTGTCTCACAGTCCCTGAACCACATTATTTTCCCTACAGCCTAGCCTTCCCTGCAGTGCTAAAGCCCTAAACGAAGCAAGTCTAGATTTCCCCAGGTTCTGAATCTCTGGTCTCCCTAGGGCTCCTTTTCAATTTAAATGGGCTTGTTTGTTACTATCAAAATTATATATATTCAGAGACTAAGCCTTAGTCTACAGTCAAAGCTGACACGCTCTAGGTAGTGTTCATTCTAACGAGCATTTTTATTTATGGATGTTTTTACACTCGCGAGAAACTGTCGACAGAAACCTCCTCCGCACTGTGAGAGGGAGAGTGTTTTGCACGACACAATCCCAGATATAACATATGTTATATTTACATGGAAGGTGCAATATTAGTCTCTTGTACCACGCCTGAGTGTCGGTTCCTTTGATCTTACCCTTGGTGTATGTGCTGGAAGACAACAGTTTTGTGTTGAAGGCAGATTTCGTCTGCCATTGGTTCCTAAAAGTCACGTACTACGGCAAGAGAACTGAACACAACATTGTTCAACATTGTACACAATTTATGTCAGTCAAGGTTTGCAACAAGGAAATGTAACTTCTACAGTTTTAATGGTTTCAAATGAATTTACAAGCTGAAATTGACCGACTCTTTTATTTATGAGAACAAAATGCTGTAATAAAATGAAAAAGAATTAAACGTATACGAGTCATTCTCAAAAGTTGCAGCTATTTGGTTTACAAAAGACAACATAATTGAAATACAAAATCGTCAGTCTTTATTTTGACAGATGGCAAGATACGTTGTTACGGTTCACACATCAATAGTATTTGAGGCTTAATTATGTGCCATAGTTTTATGAAGACTAATTAAACTAATTAGGACGAAGACACAATGTCTTTCCTGTAACAACAGTAATATCCATATCTTTCTTAAAAATACATTGATATGTAAAGATATTGTATTGTAAAATCTACCTTATGTGTTATTTTGTTACTCACACTTAAAACAACAGTTCTAAAATTGTATTTTTATTAAATATACCTGTTCTTCACTGTATCAGATGAAAAAGTGAAATCTGTGGGTACTTTGCAATACTCTTGATATCTTTTCAACTCTCTCCCCTCAAAAATCATTGCACTGAAGGTAATTTGAAGAGAACATTTTGATATTTCTGAGTGATTTCTGACAATGTCTTACTCTTTAGATCATAAAACATTCACTTTTTAGTCCCGTTATATGAAAGACAGTAGCGTTATGCAAAAGACACCCTATGTTATTAGAAAGAAAGTATATAAAATATATTTGAAAAACTATTTAATTGTAGCAAATTTCTTTGATCTCTCTGTAATGAAAGGAAGAGTTTTTGCTTGTTACCCTCAGAAGTATAGTAAGTGTTACATGTTATATATATATCTCCAAATAAGGCGAGTAACAATGACATGTTTGTTACAGAGAATACAAGAATACATCTATGGCAGTGAAGATAAGATAGGTTCACATTAATCAATTTATAAAAGTATTGATTTTACCACACTTGAAGTGCAAAATATATAGTCTATATTTTGGAACTTAGCCTGTGTGTTACCCCAAAGACAGTGTTACTGGAAAGACATTTCAGATCAAGTTGATGGAAGAAAAAAAAGAATTAAATTCTGGTGTTCAATACAGACTTTAGACAGTGTGCTTTGAATAAACAACAATAAAAGTAGCAGTTACCATTTTGAAATTTGTTTTCTAGGAACTCAGAAACTCATTTCAGAACAAGTTTGCCTGTAATTGCCATGAATTTATCAAACTGTCAAACAGATTTGCAACTAGCAAAAGTATCCAAGTTTGGATCACATTCCTCAAACTGTCAAACAGGTTTGCAACCAACAAAAATATCTCAAGTTTTGATCATCTTCCTCAAACTGTCAAAACGTTTTGCAACTAACAAAAGTATCAAAGTTTTGATCATCTCCCTCAAGCTGTCAAAGTAACAAATCAATCACTAAAATTAATCTCCGCATTTGTCATACCCATCTTGCCAGTTCTGAGAACCATACAGAAGTGAATATTTCATTGAAATTTTGTTTCAGATTATGACACATTAACTTTAGATAGGAAACTAGATGTTAACACTCTGATGGTTTTGCAGACTGATCATTACGATGTCATATTTATTATAGTCACAGTCACGCCTTGACTTTCAAATAACAGTCTTTGAAAATGCATAAAAGCATTCAAAGTTTCTAGAAAAGACTTCTTTGTGAAGCATAAGGTAATCTTATCTCATATATTTGATGCTAATCTGAATGAATCAGGAAAGAAAGACAAAAATGAAGGATAATTAGTATTAAACTGTCTTTGCCGTAACAACATAAGTCTTTTAAGTAACAGCTATTTTTGAAAGACATATAGCATACAAATTTTTAGGGAAAATATTAATTGTTACTCAAAATATAATCTTAAAGGTCCTAATATGAGCACATAGCAAATCTAGATGAACAAAGACCTACCAGAGATAATGTTTATTTTCAAATTTGTATTAAATTGTCTTTGCAGTTACAGAATTTGTCTTTCCTATAACGACCTTTGACAATAATTAGTATGATTGCCTTCAGACAAGAAAGTGTAAAACATGTTTCAGCCTAAGCATACATAGACCTTAGATAATTGCCACAAGTCAACTGTTAACGACATTGACATTAACATAAAAGAATACGTCACTAATCAATATTGATGTTTCTTTGAAGTAACACTGAAGGTCTTTCCAATAACAAAAGAGCTGTTACAGAAAAGACTGGTTATATGAAAGACAAATTGTAAGAGTAAATTATGAGAAAAATAATGACTAGTCCCTTTCCCATTTCAGACAACATTCTTATGTTATAATTATGGTTCCAAATGCAAAGAGAAAAACATACTTGTGGGAAACTGGGTATTTTGTAAATACAGTGAAGCCTCGTTAATCCGGACGGTTGCGTTTCTCAGTAAATTCGTCCGGATTGCGAATAGTCCGGACTACTGAATCAAGACCCAAGTTGCTTCCCTAAGAAAAAAAAAAACCCGACACGAATCTGGATAAAACAAATAAGCATTTA